GAAGAAGAAGAAGAAGAAGAAGAAGAAGAAGAAGAAGAAGAAGAAGAAGAAGAGGAAGAAGAAGAAGAGGAAGAAGAAGGGGGTTGAGATGTAAAATATTTGACCACTTTTTATTCCCTCTACTATTGTAAGATGCTTCCACCTTTGAAATGGTCTGGATTGAGAGTGGTGCGACGTCCTAGAAGAAACACTGAGATACTTTATTTTGTTAAAAGTTCATAGGAATCGAACTGAGATCTTTTGTGTGTGACGGCGGAGCATCTAACCGCTACACCAAATAATATGCTGGTCTCTAACCACGGGCAAACCAAAAACTAACGAACGAAAGAATAAAAAAAATAAAAAAAGAGTTCCTCCTCCGCTTCCTATTACCTTGGTACAACAGAGCGCACGCAATGTTTGGCTCCTATGTGGAAGTAGCACGCACTTCCGGTGTAGAGGTTACATCCGGGGTCAGGTTGGAAACGGCCGAAGTCCGCAAGCGCTTGGTCCAGACTGCAAGGACACGGTATGATCTCTTCCACCCACTTCTCGTCTGCGGAGTCCTTGGAATGCCACTCGTGACACTTCTGATTGGACCAATCGCCGCCTCGCACTTTCGTGAGCTCCTCGTTCACATACCAGCCCAGAGGGATAGGACCGTACCTCAGAGCTCTAAATGACCGACACACGAAGAGTAATAGGGAAATGGGATAAAGAACGTGGGAAAAGGGATGACATTGAATTTTAATAGTTCGCTTTTAAGGACAAGCGGGCTAACCCAGATTTGGGGGGTTTCTAGAAATCTTGACCAACTCCAAAAGTGGGCATTGCCCTGCCTATTGGAGAAGATTGGTTTCTTTTGTGTGTATATTTGATTGGTTATAGAGAAAACTCTCCATGTATTTTAAAGAAACTGAACAAGGGGCAAAAACTTTATCTTCGATTTTCTCAAAACAACATTTTTCGGGATAGTCCCCTTGTGCTTAAAACGACCAAATTTTCTCGTTTATTTAGACCTACGTTTTTATGTTTGCCTTTAGTTTGTTTTCTTTTTCATATTCTATGATGATTATATTATGAGGGGGTGGGGTGGGGAGCATCTGTACTTTCTCATAGGTAAGAGAACCCCCCCCCCCCATACACACACACACAAACATTGGTCTACATTCATACGTATAATTACTCATTATTTCAACACAATCAAATGTCCGTGTCCATCTTGATCAATAATTGTTTGGCATGTTCCATTTTGTCAATCCAACAGGTTTAAAAAAAAAAAGTATATAGTATATAAGGGCTAAAACCATGCACTGGGGCAGATTTAAAACAGCCATATGGGAAAAGTGCGACCGTTATTATTATTA